TATTCTATTCATGAAAGGGGTTCTTATCCAGTGCAGTTATTTATTGAGCCTCTTCAATCTTACTGAGCCTTTTACTGAGAGAAAGTGATCTTTATTTCAATTTCTGGAATTTTTTAAGTTGTCCAACTGGCTGCAGGAGTGAGAAGATAAAAAAAAAGTGTAGTCCCATGATTGAACCTCATGCTCCTGGCAAAGGTTTTTTCAGCTAGAACCCAAGACTAAACTTATAACAACATGGAGTTCTCTAATACCCTGCATTCAATGAAAATAACAGGTGGATAAAGATTCCCACATATAAATCCAGTGTGCATTTTTCAGCCACTTAATGTGCCATTATTCTTCCAAGAAAATTTCATACCAATACCTTTTGTTCCCATATTTGAATCTTTCCTCTCCACAATTCCCTTGAATCAATGCTGTCTGTTAAGTTTTCAGGAGCTAATATGTCAGCAGAAAGATATTCTGCAAATTTTTGCCAAGTACTGTAAGAAGAAAGCAGATATTAAGTTGTGCACATTTCGCTTTGCAACTTTCAAGGTTAATGTTTCGTATAACTTTTAGGACACTAAATATGATTCCACAGTATTACAAAAATCAGCTACGGAATGTCATTTATTATTTTGTAAAGTATTTGGATCTTACTCATATCGTTACCTATTTTACCCTGTTAGATTTGTACCTCACTTTTCTTCAAGGCAGCATGCATCTCCCTTCTCAATGCAAGGTAAATTGGGCTGGGTGATTGGCAAAGAGATGGACAATTAGCCCAAAGTTGTCCTGCGAACTTCAACAGCTTTAGGACACCAAAATGTGGCTATGTGATTGTGTGGTGCTGAGTGGTGGCAGCTATCATAACTTTGAATCTGAAATGTAAGTACTTTTCTTGAGGTCCATCATAACTTCAAACGGTCCCTAGGCGACTGGTCATTAAGGATTACATGTGCTATCCTAAAACGACATCAGTAACCCTCCCTTTCTCAATTCTCTTATTTGAAGAATTTAAATGCCACTACTCACGTGTTGCTTTTGTTTGCTACAATAGTGATCTTTGCTGCATGCCATTCCCTTAAGTGTTTTAAAGCACCAATGACAGGTAAACAGTCTTTTAACTGAGGGGCCTCTGTTTCTGAAGACTGGAGAATAACATCAACCATTGCTTTTCCTGCAGAAGCAAGAAAACCACCAAGTTCAGAGAGCACCAAGAATCCCACACAGACAAAATCCTTTCCTTTACTGCTAATTATACTGTCGCCTTTGGTATGGAGTGTTTTTTATTCCTTTAGATTATTTTAAGCAAAATGGCATGCTATTAAATAATTTATCCTAGCAAGGCCATCCTTCCAGATTTTCGCTTTATAATTTATAATTGCCTGTAAGGTGTCCTTGTGTTCTAAGCTATTTACCAGAGCATTATTATGCCTTAGTAAGGCCACACATGGAATACTGCATCCAGTTTTGGTCACCACAATGTAAAAAAGATGCTGAGACTCTAGAAAGAGTACAGAGAAGAGCAACAAAGATGTTCAGGGGACTGGAGGCTAAAGCATATAAAGAACGGTTGCTGGAATTGGGTATGTCTAGTTTAATGAAGGACAAGGGGGGACATGATAGCAATATTCCAATATCTCAGGGGTTGCCACAAAGAAGAGGGAGTCAAGCTATTTCCCAAAGCGCCTGAAGGCAGGACAAGAAGCAACGGGTGGAAACTGATCAAGTTTCCACCCGTTGGAGAAGCAACTTAGAACTAAGGAGAAACTTCCTGACAGTTAGAACAATTAACCAGTGGAACAACCTGCCTCCAGAAGCGGTGAATGCTCCAACACTGGAAGTTTTTAAGAAGAGACTGGACAGCCATTTGTCTGAAATGGTGTAGGGTTCCTGCCTGAGCAGGGGGTTGGACTCGATGACCTCCAAGGTCCCTTCTAACTTTATTATTATTATTATTATTATTATTATTATTATTATTATTATTATTATTATTATTATTATTATTAGCAGAAGACAGACTAACTGCCTCAAAGGTACTTTGAGAAGCAAAATGATTTTGTCACAAAGATACTTTGTTTCTATGGTATTACCAGGAGCAGGAAGTTTATCTGCTAAAAGATGTATGCTCTCCGCAGATTCTTCATATAGACTGAAATATAAGAATGAAAAATATAAAAAAATTATTCTCATTCAAGAATAATATGCTTTATCCAATACAAGTATCAAAATTATGAAGCGCTGTATTTAAATATGGAAAAAGAGAAAAAATGATTTACTTCAAATGAAATGCATGCCATCAAAGTTTTAGTTAATGAATTTATCAGCATCAACAATTTCTTGCTAAATCAGCTGTTCTGCTGCTACTCCTAGTAAGAATGCTTACTTTCCCCTATATATTCAAAGACCATTCCAAAGTTCAGAAACTGTATTCTGATATATTTTCCAACATACAAAATAGATCAACTTACTCAATGAGTGATACTGATTCCCAACTATTATCTTCTTCCTCAACATTTTGATCAGCAAGATATTCTTTAATATTTCTTCGAACAGAGCTTTTGTTTTGTTCTGTCTCTTCATCAAAACTGATGTCCTCCCAGTCGGTACTACAAAACTATTCAATTAAAAGAAAATTCTATAAGGGTTGAAAAAACTGGAACTAATATTTGGGGTAATTATATGTTTCCAGTGACTCACCTGGGAAAATCCACATATTGACTGAACTGCAAAATACCATTCTTTCACATATGGAATGCCAGTAAGAGAACATGCTAAAAGGAGAAGTAATATACACGTTACAATGAATTTTAGAAAGTTTAAAATACAAGCCTCATTTTGTCCAGGAAAACGCGCTACATGAAATGCCACGATTCCAATAGCTCTTAAGAATTAAAATAGCATACAAGGAAATAAAGCAATCCTTTCTCTAGAAACGTAAAAACCAATATAGCGGTAGCAAAGCCAAAGTGCTATTTCGGATAAATGCAGTAATTAACTGTGCTTTCTTTCCTCCCCATCACTCACGAAAAAGTTAGCTGGTTGTTTTTCTGTCAGTGTTTGATTTTTTTTTTAAATGTATTGTATGTCACAAATACATTTGCCTGCATTGTAGGGAGAAAGCTAGTGGTTTTATTTATTAAGCTACTTATGACTCCCAGGAGGGAGGGGGCTGAATTCCAAAGGAGCTAGAGATAGTTTGTGTGAGAGAGAAAGGGTGAAGTCAGCTCCTCCCTAATAGTTCTTTATGCAAGTTTGCTTTAGTTTAGCAAGATTGCTGTCAGGCTCCAAAAACCAAGAAAGACACTTTGTGATTCTTCCAAGCATATTTCTTTATTGTTCCTCTCCTTTGCCCTCTATAGCAAACGATGATATATTTCAACAAGTTCAAAAGCAGCAAAGTTTACAGACATTCACTCCTTCTATGTCCTCAGCAGTTTGAGTTCACCCACTGTGCTAGGCAGAATGTACTTTGCTGTAGAAGAGCTTCGCCTTACCTGGGAAAGTTTCAAATGTTGCCTTTTGAGAGGGATTGCAATTTATTTCCAGCAAGTTATAAATATTTTCAGCCGTCAAACCTGGAAAACATAATTGAGTTTATTGAAAAATCACAAAAACAAAGCTGCGTAGTCCATTTATCCAAGTACGAAATCTCATTTTACAAACTCCACTGGCAACTCTAGCAAGTAGGTAAAAATGAATTAGTTTAAAACTTGGTGGGGTTTTTTTTTTTGCATCTGTGTTTGTGTAGACTCTGGGTTTGAGTGCAAGAACTTGGGGGTTTTCTGAGAAACCCTACTGGCAATCCTGCTCAGTGTATGCATCCCACTGTCAAGACTACTATCTTGGAGAACAAAGTACATAAAATAAGTTTGTCAGGACTCAGATCTCCCTAGAAGATTGATGGGGCTACATTAGTTTAACCGGAGTCTGCTTTGCATTAAAAGAAGCATTAGCTGACTAAGTCAATACACTTTTAAAATAGGTTTCCTTAAAACAACCATCTCTCCCCCCCCCCCCCATCACACATCCCATAACTTAGTTTACCATGAAGTAGGAACAGGACTAGTGGTTTAAACAGGGGGAAAAAGCCAAGTAGGGAGAAAAAAAGAACCTGATCTCTTAACTATCAAATAATTAATCCTATCAACATTTTTTTTTGGGGGGGAGGGGTATTTCAAATTCCGTAGGCAGCACAAATCATTATTCCAAACATCCCTTGATAATTACCCACTGGTACTTGCAATACAGAAGTACCCAAAGGTACTTTTTAAAAAACAAATTTAAAAAAATTCTCTCTGCTCAGTGAAAGATTATACACTTATTTTTCCAGTTTTATGGTTGGAGGGGGGATAACCTGGCATTCTAGGTTATCCTGCAATAACCCAAGACATCTAGGAAGGCAGCCTAGTGGGAAGGCTCTCATAAACAGACAGCAGAAATCGAACGGGAAAAGGACAGAGGCTGCCCTACCAATCCCACAGGCCCGCTAGGTAGCAGCACTAATCCATCCTCTAAGCCAGTGGTTCTCAACCTGTGGGTCGGGACCCCATTTGGGGTCGATCGACCATTTCATGGGGGTCGCCAAGCAAGGCTGTCCGCCATTTTTTTGTCCGCCATTTTTTTCCCCTTTTCCGGCGGGTGCCTTACCTCCCTTGGGCTGGGCCAGCTGGTGGTCGGCCTGCTCCGTCTCTGCCGCTTGCCAGCTACGCCTCGGC